AAAACCAATAGGCAAATATGAAGAATTGAGTTCATAAAACTCAGTAATTAACCTGTTTATTAGTTAAAACTATGTGTTTATTAATATTAAAGATCCATGTTTTAATGGAGTGATAGGAAAGGTGGGGAGATCAAGGATTCTCTAAGTCTTCATAAAGCAGCTTTTCTAAATATTTTAACTAGCTGCTAAGATCTTCAGAATTATATATTTTGTGTTTTATTTCATCTCTATACTAAAATTCATGCATTAAAAGTGTGTACAAGATATATGGGGCACACTTTTTCCCTTCAGATTATCAAAAAACTCTTTTTACTCCTGTATTATCAAAATTTTGAGCAGTTTTTCTTTTTTTCTGAAAACAGAAATTTTGCTCATGAATTAGTTCAAATACATTTATATAGCTCCCTTATATACTATCAAAGGAGCTCCAACCATCTGGTATGTCTGGAAGACACTTCAGTGAGTAGAAATTAGAAGCCAGCATTTGAAATTTTCTATAACAGGGACATGAAAGCGTAAATAGGCTTCAAAGGGATAAGAGAATTTTACTTTTTTTTTTTTTTTTAAGATTTTTACTGTCCTCTGAAGTGAAGCAATTGAACCAAAGGATTTTACATTTTTAAAAAATAATTCAATTAACATTCATTGTCAAATAGCCTACAAGAAAGTTCCACTAGCATTCTGCAGTTGTATAGGATAAGAGAGTATTTGTTGCTAATGACATTCCAGAAAGCAATATGTTTAGCAGCTGTTTTTCAAAAGACTTGTCAAGTTTTACTATTGTTAATTAATCCAGGCTTAACTGTGTAATTTTAAACAAAAACTGTGCGTTATTCAATCAGTAACAAATTATCTTAACAAACTAGATTATCTTTTGCTTTTCTTTACATGAATTTTTGCTTTATTAGGTATTTTGTATTCCAATTTTTGTTTTAGAACTTAGTGCACATGTAGAAAGGGGAAGAAACCCTTTTGGATATTAGTAATACATGAAATTAAAAGCAGATCACAAAACTGAGATTTATGACTCCATTTTTAACAAAGGGGAGGAAACAAGAGCCATACAACCAGAAAAATTCTTCAGAAGCACACTTTGTTATCAATTATATAACTAAAGAAAGTATATATATATATAACTGAAGAGTTAACAGTAAGACTATGATCTACATCTGATACCAATAAGAAGCTAAGAGTAATAAATACCTATCCTGAACATACACTAAGTAAATAATTATTATCATTTTAATGAGCTTTTTTTTTACTGTTTTTTTTTTTTTTTAAATAGGCAAAAGAGCAATGATAAATGGCAAATGTGGCTCCTTAAAAAGAAGACAGGGATCCACCCAGTTTTCTTCCCATGAAGAATGGGATCAAGAAGAAAGAGGTTTAAATTGCACTGTGAGGTATTTCAGTTCTAAGATTAAGTTTCCTGATAATGAGTTTACAGTCCTGGAATTGCCTTTTGGGAGAGAGACCACCTTTCCTGAAGTATGTAAAGAAATGGAGGGTGACAGTAATGCCCAAAGGCAAAAGGATGGATCAAATTAATGACTTCCTTTTAAGGCACCCTTTCAGAAATGGAGTTCTTTTCTTTGAAGCCAGGAAAGTTTCTTTGTTTTGTCTCTTAAGGATCTCACTTGGCATCACACCATTCAATGTCTGCTCTTAATTAAGGAGAAAAAGAACTAATATTTGAGTGCTTACTATTTACCAAGCATTGTACTTTCAATTTATCTCATCTAATTTTCACAACAATCCTGACAGGTCTATCTCATAGATGAAAAAAACTGATGCTCAAAATATTGTGCTTTTCCTAAAGTCGCAGCTAATTTGTAGCATACTAGGTCTCCTCACACCTAAACTAGTGTTTTCCCTTCTATGTAATTCCCCACATCACTTTGAACTGGCAAAGTCACCACCCACCAAAGATTCCATCAGGAACTAGAACACAGCATCTTCAAAAATTCTGCTTTAAATCAATGGGAAAGTAAAATTTTGGCTCATACCTCAAAAAGTCAAAATGGTGACTAGCTTTTGTGCTCTGACCTCTTGTCCAAAGGAGTCAAAGAAGTCTCATCCAAACACAAACAGATTTCTCACCATACTGATTTAAGACCATGACTTTAAAAAAGAAAAAAAAAAAAGATATCAATGAAAAGCCGTCTATCAGCCTACCAAGTGTGAAAGTTATTTAGCAGGTGGAATAATTTGGGCCATAGGCTCAAATTATTAGCAAAAATTGCTTATAGTTACCTCTGATTTTCAAGTCAAAAATACTGTTTTTTATTGCTTTCTACATAAAGCAGTTCTTTTAAACTCATGTATTCTTTTAAAAAAAAATTTTTTTTCTCAGCCTATCAATGAGCTAAACTCATGTATTCTCAAGAAAATCAAACAAACTAAGGAAATGTCATTGAGACTTTTCTAAAATAGATCTGTGGACTGCTTTACATCAGTGACCTACCAGCCCATCTCTCTTGGGAACTGCAAAACTTCATGTTGGTCTGTTTGTGAGAACTTTAACAGAAGATTCTGCTCTGCTAAAAAAGGCCTATCCTAAAATCATCAAGGAGACACCCATTATTTATTAAAGGCCTATGTTTGGCAAGCAATAAATAATTTCATGTAACTTCTACTAAAACAATATTTTTAACTCAAGAACCAATCTGTAATTTCAACAGGACATCAGTGAATGGACTGACAAGGCAAGTCCACCATGGGGCATAATGGAGGCCAGTCTCTTGGCCTAACAACACGCAACCAACATCTTCCCTGAAAGATGAAGGTGGGATGCACTTGTAGCAGAAGAACGAGGCCCCATTTAAAAAACCATTAGCTATGGATTAACAAATATTTAATCAAACACGTTATGAGGGGCAAAATACTACACGCAACATGGAATTTAGGTTAATAAGTTACCTGCTCCAATCTCCAACCAACTGGATCCTCTCCACATCTTTGCCAGCCTCTTATGTAGCCTCTGCTTGACAGAGGCTATTACCTGAAGCAACCTGTCCCACAGTGAACCAACTTTTTGAGAACTATCTCCCTGACATGGAACCCAAATCTGTGTCCCTACAGCCTCATTCAGTGGGACTCATTCCACCCCTCTGAACTACAGAGCATCTTGCTCTAATGCACTAATTGTATTCCCCTTTTTTTCTAACCAAAATCTCCCCAAATCCTTCAAATATTCTTTAAATGTCTTGCATTTAAAATTCCTTCAGGGGAGGGGAGTGGTGAAAAATAAAATAAAAAAATAAAATTCCTTCAGCGAGCTGGTAATGCCTCAATTTGTTTTTAATTTCAAAGTATGGCTTCTGGAAATGACAATAACATTCCAGCATAATGGGACGAAGGAGAGGAAATGAAATGCCATCTCCCTTACTCTAACATTGCTATATTAACATGTTTTGAAGGGATAATTTCTTAGTTCAGTATGAAAAAATTACCAGTGTAAAGAATGTAAAGGAAGGCATCTTTCCTTCCAAACACAAATAGGCTCATGTCACAGAAATGAAATCCAAAAAGAAAGTAAAGAAAACATATCCCTCCCTTATCCCAAAATTAGTATTTAACCATACTGCTTAAATGGAACACATTTGACTGAAGGATGAGAAGCAAATGTTGTTTTACAGCTTTTAATTCTTTAGCTAAGTTTCAAAAGTATCATAGTATAAACATGTCAGGACCATGGTTGAGAAAAGTAACCAGTTGCAGTTAAAACAACAACAAAATTCTAGAAAAAAAGGAATGGCAAACCCTAGACGATCTCTCCCAGAGACTAATAGAGGAATGATCCCTAAATACGCATTACCATGAAATACAGAGTTCTACAGGATTAAGAAATTTAAAAAAAAAAAATTAGATTTTTGCCTAAATGACAGGTAATAAATCTAAACTTAGGAACATGTACTCACAGTTCAAAAAGTTCTGCCCACCTTGATTAACTTGTTTTCTGAGTACCATTAGTTGCTGGCTTAGTGGAGAAGGCCGTTGGTTTGCTATGCAAAAAAAAAAAAAAAAAAAAAAAGAAACATTTTTTTCTGATTATATTTCATTCATGTGCCTTGGTTTAAAGGGAGATGTTTCACTTTAGTAGGAAGACCAGTTCAAAACCATTTACAACTGATGTTTATTCAGTATGAGTCATGAACTGAAACTTGGTGTGAGATCTGGTAGAATTATGGGCTAGCTTAAAGGGTAATATGGCAAATCATTGGCATAACTCTGTCACCAGTGTCCTCCCAAGGCATATATATTCATGAATGAAAGAAGTTAAGAACCCAGTCCTTTGTTAAATGTGGTGTCTCTGGCCAAGAAGTCTAAATGGCTTAAAATAAATAATCTTGATCCAAAAATCTTATTTTGGTCAATGGTTTCTACCCTCCTAATAAACTCTAAATAAGAACAGACACATTGTCAAATCAATCTATTTAACTTTCATTTTAGTTTTCTTGCCACTTTACTCAGGGAGAGATAAAAATGTGAACTGATTAAAAGACTGGGAACAAGAAAGGCCAGGAAGAACCCATAGCCTAATGTAAGTAATCCACTAAAAAGTAAATGGCCATGCCAATTCAAAAAATATTAATATAATTCAACAGATTTAATAAAAGCATACAATGGGAGAAAAAGCCTTCTATGGGCAAAGAGAAGAAGCACAAAATCCTTTGAGGATATAGTCTACACCAGGCGTCCCCAAACTACGGCCCACAGGCCACATGCGGCCCCCTGAGGCCATTTATCCGGCCCCCCGCTGCACTTCAGGAAGGGGCATCTCTTTCATTGGTGGTCAGTGAGAGGAGCACAGTATGTGGCGGCCCTCCAACGGTCTGAGGGACAGTGAACTGGCCCCCTGTGTAAAAAGTTTGGGGACGCCTGGTCTACACAAAGCCATAATGAAATATCATTATCAGCAAATTTTTATTTCTTAGATTTCCCCAAGCCTGATTCCATGACATGAGTATCATACATTTTTCATTGGAAACTGAAAAAAGTTTTGCCATATATTTAATAACTTTATTGAAAGAAGAAAAAGATCACACCAAAAATGGTGGAATACACAAACCCTGGTAGTCTTAGCAGACCAAAGCCGAATTAAATTATGATAAAGCAATTTCTCTTTTTTCATCCACCACTAAATGAGAATTCATTTTTATCTAAAGACTCATCTTAGCAAATATTGCCATGGCAATAAGACTGTTAGGCAAACCAATAAATTTAGGTCCTGGCCTGGATTAAGATGACTGTAATTAGTGTCCTTTATTAAGTTCTACTTAAAGGGATTTCTGTTTAATCAAAAAAAGCCTCCCCCTGATCTTGGCACTTAAATATTTATTCAACTAATATTTATTGCACCTACAATATTTTCAGGGATTGTTTTCAAACGAGATATATTAGTAGACAAGCATCCATAAGGCCTAATCTGGAATTCACACAACTAAGAAAAAAAGAAACAAAGTCCCACCTTCTCATGTGTTGCTGCTGATGAGCCATGGATGATAAGTTATAGAAAGGCTGGGAGGAGCAACAGGGAAGAAAGAGGCCAAGACCACACAGTTTTTTAACTCCCATTCTGTCTGGCCATGGATATACAGAGAAGGCTAACCCCTAGGGAATAATATAAGTATCGCCATAAAAGGTGTTATTCTGCAACTAAATCAGTCCAATCTAACACAACCATTTCCTCTAAGTTCACAAAGCAACTTTATTTTCAACACTTGCTACTGGGAGACAAAGTTGGGTCATCATGTGCTGGGGGCACTGGATTTTTGCCCTAAATGACAGGTAATCAATCTAAACTTAGGAACATTTCCTTAAAGTTTAAAAAAGTTCTTTTACCCACCTGGATTAACTTGTTTTCTGAATACCTTTAGTTGCTGGCTTAGTGGAGAGGATGGGGAGGGAAAGGCAACAATTATTATAAATTATTTTGGTTCTATTAAAATGACTTTTCTTTCCTGCAGAGACCGATTCTAAAAGAAAAACAAACTTCTGGGATCCCTTTCTCTTTCCCACAGGATCAGGAAAACACAGTGAGGCCAACCAAAAGTTATCAGTCCCTTAAAAAATATGCATAATCCCATGTGCGAGAGACTGGTCAATCTGGAATCTGCTAGAGAAATGCTAGAAATGCTTTATGAACATCATGTTTCTACATGACTCATTTCTTTACAATTAAATAGCTTTCAAATATCAACATATCAGGACTGAGATTGTCACCATCTACAGCAACAGTGGAATTACACATCATATCCTTATTCCATTACTCATCCCTCAGTTATGCTAAGCAGCAAGCTACAGAAACATTTGACAGCATCAACAGCATACAGGCTTAATTATTTCCCCAATTTGCATTTATATCAGTGAACAAATTGGAAGCTATCAAAGTATGGCACTGAAGAAACAGAAACATATATTCAGCAGCACATCTTCCATTTTGAGTCCTGTTTTAAAATTGGCTAAGTAAAGGCATATACACCTCCATTTGAATTGGAGATTCGCAGTAACACATGCATATAAGGGTGAGAGGGAAGGAAGAAAGGAGGGAGGGAGGGAAGGAGGGAAGAAGAAAAGGAGAGACCACAAAAAGAGGAAAAGAAAGAAAAAAGGAAGAACGTATGGTTAAGCATCTGAGGGTAACATTATTACAAGAAGGAGGGGAAAAAATGACAGTTCGATCTGCTTCCACAAGCAGAATTTTTCTAAGGTTATCATCAAAGATATAAAAATGGGTCGTGAGACTTTTCATCTGTTGCTATTCTCACTTATCATACTAAAAAAATCTACAAAATCCTAAGCCTTGGTCTGTCCAAGATGGAGAGTACCAGGAAGTAAAAGATGTGACCTACTATCAAGGACTGTGCTCTGCTTGGAGCCCTGCACTACAGTCCCTTAATCCACAGTATTTTGGTCATATCTGGTCTGTTTCCTCATACTACTCAAAATATCTTAGAGCTAAGCTTTTATATTAGAATATCATCAAACATTTATTTATTTGTTTTTCAGTTTGCAAACTTTTTCATTTACTTAAAGGGCTGGAGAGACAAGAGAAGAGAATGGTAGAGATTCAGAAGGGACCATAAAAGGAAAAGTATTCTCTTTTCCCAAAAATCCACCTTTAAAAAGGTAGTAATGAGACTTTTAGAAAGAGTGCTGATTCATGGACTTCCCCCATTTTTTTATTTCTATATAATACATTTAAGGACATCAATATACTAAAACGTTTGGTCTGTGAAATAGCAGAATCATTAGCACCAAAAGGAGTCATGGAGCTTGTATATATTATTAAAACAATGATTGTTACTGTTGGTCATGGGTAAAGGTTTCATTTCATTTTTACATCCCAAAGTTCTTGAAAGTGCCTGTGGACAAGAGAAGTAACACTTTGCAAAATCTCCATGGGGTCGTCAAGACGTACCACAGAGAGACTGTACTTGGCCTTCCCAGTTTTGGTTTATCTGGTAGACAAGAAAACCAGGGCCCCCAGAAGATTACCACCGAAGCCCTAAAGAACAGCTCCCACATGCACCCACTGATGTGCAGGAGGGATCCCTACAGTACATTTCCCCCTGGACTCTGTTTGGGAATGCGCTTTTACTTGCTTTTTAAAAAAACAAAAGCAACATGCTCTGCAGATCATGGAGTGCCTAGTGCAATTTCCTCCTTGCTCCAACTCCAGACTGCAAAAGGGTGAAACCATTATATGTTCTGCTAATGCTGTCCTGTGGTCGAGGCCCTTGGCCTGCCATGCTTTTTGTAAGCTCAGGAGCCCACAGGAGTCAGAAGGTCCGAGAGCGGGAGCCATAGTCATCGCCAGATCTCCCCAGCATCTCATGGCCCATCAGGGCAGTTGCTGATTCCTTTTGCTTCTCTGTGCCTCAGCCTTTAGTTGAAATTACAACAAGTCAAATAGCTGATGCTTTTCCCTTCTCCAGGTAAGGGTGAGGATACATTGTTCACAAGTGTGTTCTGTCTGGCTTCACTGATGAGTCGGCATGCTAAGTCAAGGAAGAGTTTTTCCACATTATCAGATTCCTTGGCTGAGGTCTCCAGATAATACATGTCCTGAGCTTCTGAGAATTCTTCAGCTCGCTGCTGGGAGACCTCTCTCCTTTCAGCCAGATCAATCTTGTTGCCTGTAACAGTAGTAAAATCAAATAAAAAACGATGAGTTCACGTCCTTTGTAGGGTCATGGATGAACCTGGAAACCATCATTCTCAGCAAACTGACACAAGAGCAGAAAATCAAACACCGTATATTCTTGCTCATAGGCGGGTGTTGAACAATGAGAACACATGGACACAGGGAGGGGAGCACTACACACTGGGGTCCGTTGGGGGGAAATGGGGGAGGGGTGGGGGGGTGGGGAGGTGGGAAGAGATAGCATGGGGAGAAATGACAGATACAGGTGAGGGGACGGAAGGCAGCAAAGCACACTGCCATGTGTGTACCTATGCAACAATCTTGCATGTTCATCACATGTACCCCAAAACCTAAAATGCAATTTTAAAAAAAATAAATAAATAAATAAAGAATCATCATTTGACTTTGTGTATGCTTAGAAGCATCAAAATTCAACTCCAGATCTGAACTCAAACCAGACAGATGGGCAAGTAAAGCAAAGCAAATGTCACTGTGATTACCAAAATGTTTACTTTAAAATATGAGTGCCGCCGGGCGCGGTGGCTCAAGCCTGTAATCCCAGCACTTTGGGAGGCCGAGGCGGGTGGATCACGAGGTCAAAAGATAGAGACCATCCTGGTCAACATGGTGAAACCCTGTCTCTACTAAAAATACAAAACATTAGCTGGGCATGGTGGTGCGTGCCTGTAATCCCAGCTACTCAGGAGGCTGAGGCAGGAGAGTTGCCTGAACCCAGGAGGCGGAGGTTGCAGTGAGCCGAGATCGCGCCATTGCACTCCAATCTGGGTAACGAGCGAAACTCCGTCTCAAAAAAAAAAAAAATATATGAGTGCCATTCATAATGGCAAGGAACTGGAGACCACCCAAATATCCATCAGTAGGGCACTGACTGAATATACTATGGCCCATCCACAAAACAGAGTATTTGCTGTTGTAAAAATCAATTAGGAGTATTTCTATATACTGCCATGCAAAGGAAACACTGGGATACACTGTTAAGCAAAAAAAAAAAAAAAAAAAGCAAAGCAGAGAAAAGTATATACAACATGCACTGTCTATCCAAGAAAAAGGGAAGGATATGAATACATATATCATATGCATATTTTATTTATCTTTTAATAGAAGAATAAACCAACATCTTAATTTAAAAGAAAATGGTTACCTAAGAAAGGAACAGGGTTGAGGTGAAAGGAATAAAAACCAGACTTCTCTGAATATACTCTGTTTTGTAGATTTTACTTTAGGAACTTAAAAATGCTTTATTATAATTACACAATTAATTTCAAAATTAAATTTAAAAAGCAATCCCTAAAAACTGAAAGCAAAATTAAACAAATGAACATGTTCATCATATGTGGAATAACCACACAGAGTGTAACCCTTTTTTTCTTTTAGCTGAGACAAGGTCTGGCTCTACTGTCCAGGCTGGAGTGCAGTGGTGTGATCTTGACTTGCTGCAAACTCTGCCTCCTGGGCTCAAGCCATCCCCTCCCACCTCAGCCTCCTAAGTAGCTGGGACTACAGACATGGACTGCCATGTCCAGCTAATTTGAAAAATATTTTTTGCAGAGACAGGGTTTCGCCACATTGTTCAGGCTGGTCTTGAGCTTGTGAGCTCATGCAATCCACCTGCGTCGGCCTCCAGAAGTGATGGAATTACAGGCATGAGCCACCAAGCTAGGCCAACAGAGTAATTATTTCAAGGTGTTTGAGATACAGTAATTTAACCCAGTGGTATACAGCCTAAGGACAAAAAGAATTGAAGGCAAAATCCTGAACTGTCTAGGTAATCATCTTGGTGGTGGTACTGTTGGTATTATTATTCTGAGGTTGCTGTCCGTATATTATGGGATAAAGCAAATGAGTAATTATGCTGGTATCATTGGTAACTGGGACTTTTGGCATAGGAAAAAGGAAATAGAAGATTAATGAGGTTAAGTAAAATTTCTGCAGTCCTGAATTATAAATAGAAGTATCAGTATGAATAATTCATGATGTATTTTATCTTTAAAAAGTTTTCTACCTACCTTTATTCTCCAGGAAACTTGACAAAAATGTGTCAATTTTATTACCTGGCAACGCTGCTTATGGTAAAAATGACACCTCATTGATAAATTACTTCTGGCCTGGGAATTCTATCTATGAATTTATAAATACCTAATGGAAAGCCATAACTTCGGGCTTCCCTGAATGTGGTGACTTCCCTGGAAGAGACTCTGAGAGTTATGATTGTGGAGTTATTTTAATAAATATAGGCTCCTATGGGGTATTTAGGCTGCTAGGCCAAGGCAGATCCTCCATTTGTTTGACATGAGCCTTGTTCCCTCACACTAGAATTGTCTGGGGGTTGGGGACTGGGTAGGAGGTCCTGGAAAGGTACGTGGACTGCTACTAGGATTACTTCCACTGAAGAGGGATGCCGGATGCTGATCTGCTGTTAAGCTGTGCTTCCTGTCCTGTGTCCTTTTAAGTGAACATGATGTCACGTATGGTCTACAGCAGTCTTGTGAGTCGGAACGCTAGCAGAACCTATTAGGACAACCCTCTTGTGGATACGACAGAATACACCACACTCATGCACACATACACACAAGCTCTGTCCACTGAAAGAAAACAACGGCCAACCCATTGCAGGAGGACTGCTAACACCTAGGCTGTGGCCTCTAAATGTGACTTCCCACTGAAACGAAAGCACTTGTTGAAGAAAGGGCTAATTCAAGGTCTGGGGTAAGAAGTGCACAAGATGCGGCTGGAACACTTGCCATACCAGAAAACAAAAAAATTATCCAACATTCCTGTGGTCACGCCAAAAAGGACTCAGGAGCCCATTTGAAGAAGCTCCCACTGTCAAAGTTGGAACGATGGCTGCATCAGTTGTAATAATTGCAAGAGACTGGAATACATCAAATTAATTAATTTATTTATTTATTTATTGAGGCAGAGTCTTGCTCTGTTGCCCAGGCTAGAGTGCAGTGGCACAATCTTAGCTCAACTGCAAGCTCCACCTCCCAGGTTCAAGAGATTCTCCTGCCTCAGCCTCCCCAGTAGCTGGGATTATAGGCATATGCCACCATGCCCAGCTAATTTTTTGTATATTTTAGTAGAAATGGGGTTTAACCATGTTACCCAGGCTGGTCTCAAACTCCTGACCTCAAGTGATCCACCTGCATTGGCCTCCTAAAGTGCCGGAAATTACAGGTGTGAGCCACCTCACCCGGCCCATTAAATTTATTTAAATCTATAAATTTATAATAATATTATAAATATGAACAGATGTCAACAGTTACTCTTAGAAGATACTGGAGAACCAACTTGCTATCTTGAAAAGTGGTGAATAAAAAGAAAGAATCAAGCGTTCTTCTTGCCTGTCCTATGAGAACTATACCTCAGAGTATGATGTATGTAGTGTTTTATCTAAAACGAAAACCAAGAAACCCTGACTCTCATCAGGCCTGTAGATTACAAATCTGCAAGAAATATAGGGATGGAGGTGATGTCAAATGATACCTCAGGGGTGATAAAACAAAATTTAGACTTGTAAAGCCTATAGGACAAACAATGCATTAGCAATAAATTCTAAGGGAGAAAAAAAATGGGAGTGAACTTTCAGAAAAAAGAATGAAAAGACATAGCCATCAATTACAGCATATGGACCTCAGTTGGCATTCTTTTTTTTTTTTTTTTTTTTTTTTGAGACAGTATCTGGTTCTGTGACCCAGGCCTGACAGCAGTGGTACCATCATAGCTCACTGCAGCCTTCAACTTCTGGGGTCATATGATCCTCCTGCCTCAGCTTCCTGAGTAGTTGGGACCACAGGTATATACCACCATGCCTGGCTAAGCTCACTATGTTGCCCCGGCTGGTCTGAACTGCTGGGCTAAGGCAATCCTCCTGTCTCAGTTTCCCATAGCACTGAAATTACAGGTGTGAGCCACCATGACTGGCTTCTGGGCCTTAGTTGGATCTTGATTTGAACAAACAAAAAAAATTCATGAGTCAATCAGGGAAATCTGAATACGAAGTTTTTAAGGCTACTAAAAAATTGTAAAGATATTTTAGGTGTAAAACTGGCATTGAGGTTAGGTTTTCTTTTTAAAAATCTATTAGAGATATACATAGATACTGAAACATGAATTAATACAACATCTGAGATTTGCTTAAAAATAATCTGAGGGAGAAGGTGGACAGCATTGCTAACGAAGGGATAAAATAAGATTGGTCATGGGTTGCTAACTGTGGAAGCTGGGAGATGTGTAGAAGGGGATTTACTATACTTTTGTGTATGTTTGAAATTTTCCATAGTAAAACTTTTTTTAAACCAATTCCTCTTTCAGATTGAACTAATTATCTCCCCTCAAATCTTCACTTAACTTCCTTAAATAAAATCCCAAGTAGTAACACTTTGACTCAAGTTCCCAAAGGCTTTCTGTAAAATAGAAAGTACAAATGCAGACTGCTCAAATGCTCCATGGCAGAGGTTCACCATTGTACAAGAGGCTTTTACAGGGAGCACTAGCTCATAGAAACACAGATGCTTCACCCAGCAGCCTGAGGAGAAGTTCAGCAATTTGTTATAACATAACCTATTACAGCTGGACAAATACAGGGCTTGGAGTTGATCTTACATGCTGTGTGACCTTGGGAAAAGAACTTCACCTCTTTGAGTCCTGGTCCCTGATCTGTAAATGAGGGATCATGACACAAAAAGTTCCTAGTATCATTCCTGACACATATATACCAATTATAACACTAAAGTGTTTACTGAGCTTATTATTGTTAACCATAATTTGTAACTTAACAATGCTTCTAAGGCTCTCTACTCAAATTTCCAAAATTCAGGTATTGCTAGACTATATAGCAACATCCCTTTCTAGGAAGAAAATGTGTTAACAGTCAAATGGTTACTAATACTTTTTCACTACAAATAGAGAAGCGTTTAATGATCTGGTCCATTTCAATGGGTATATCTGTCACCACAGAAAATCTATGGTTGTTTTATGCTTTCCCTCATACTAGAGGTTTTATTCTCCTACAACATGAAACAAACCACAGCATTTCCCTTACTGGATTCTTTGTGAAACACAGAATTTCTCAAATCAGTCTAAATGTTAGGAAGGCTAAATGTTAGGAGGGAAGAATAACCAAAATCCATTTTTTAGGCAATAAACAATTGCTTCAATAATGAATTCCTTATCAACTTAAAAGATAGTTTTCTTCTAGAACAGCCCTTTCTGTCATCGTGTAATTAGACTTTTTAAATTTTTAGCAGCTCACATAACTTTCATGGCCATCCAACTTCTTCCCTAGAGCCTACGTTGATAGAAAAATCAATCAGCAATGTTTTCTACTTTATTTTTCTAAACCGTCACCATGGGAAAGGACCTATTTCATTTTCTCTTCAATTACAGAAGAACTGAAGGTTGACTGCATGAACTATTAGCTAAGGACTAATATTCTTGGAAGGTACCAACGTATGAGCTTTATGTGATTATAAATCCTCTGATGCCCACAAATCAATTTCCCTCCTCTTTCGCCCTTACTTACCCACTAACACAGTGATGACCTTGTTGCTGGCATATTGTTCTATCTCCCGCAGCCACTCAGGAAGGCAACGGAAGGATTCCTCACAGGTGATGTCATAAGTGAGGATCAAGGCATTGGCGCTTCGGTAATAACTCTGGGTGATGGACCGAAATCTCTCTTGACCTGCTGTGTCCCAGATCTGTAGCTATAAAGGCATAAGAGAAGAATCAGGTAGAGAAGGATCAGGTTGGAGAAAAAAAGAAAAAACGCTCTGCCTTGTTTTAGTTTGGAAATGGGAACACCTTTACCCAAATAATTTCATGGTTATTTTCTACCCTAAAATAAAAAAAAAAATTTTAAAGCCCTTAAAATTAAAAAAAAAAAAATTGTTGGATGTGTTTCTGGTTAGGGAGAGGGGCTTATTTTGTTTTGTTTTTTCTTTGTTAAGAGTTTCCTTTTTATTCTTAAAAAAGAAAAACATAAAATTCATCAAGCCTTTATTGTGTGCCAAGCTCTATTCTAAGCATTTTACCTGTGGTAACTCACTTATTCCTCAAAATAACCCTATGAGGTGGATACTATTACAATACCCATTTCTTGCTTGAAGAAACGGAAGCACAGTGAGATTAATTAACTTCTTCAGCATCTAGTGTGTCCCAGAACCAATCAACCAGGCATTGTGGTCCCAGAGTCCATGTTCTTAACCACAATGCCTTATTACAAAAGGCAAGATACAGGGCAAGCTGTTATCCTGTGACTGTTGGCATTTAGTTAGCAACTGGAGGGAGATCCAGCCTCATCACTTCTCCAGTTCAAAATTCAAATGAATGTATTAAAGTATTATCTTTGTTAAAGAAAACCGGAATAATGCCATGGCAGACAATATAGTTTCGCTTCAGGTCTCTTAAGCTCTATGACCTTGGCCAAGTTACTTAATCTCTTTGGGCTTTGATAATTTCTTTACAAAAAGTGGTTACTAACACACAACCTGCTAAAGGTTCACTGTTTCTGCAGTTGTCTACCAGTTCTAAGCCCTAATAACTAATAATTATAATAACAAAGAAGAAGACAGTACTTCTAGGCCGGGCTCGGTGGCTCACGCCTGTAATCCCAGCACTTTGGGAGGCCGAGGCGGGTGGATCACGAGGTCAAGAGATCGAGACCATCCCGGTCAACATGGTGAAACCCCGTCTCTACTAAAAATACAAAAAATTAGCTGGGCATGGTGGTGCGTGCCTGTAATCCCAGCTACTCAGGAGGCTGAGGCAGGAGAATTGCCTGAACCCAGGAGGCGGAGGTTGCGGTGAGCTGAGATCGCACCATTGCACTGCAGCCTGGGTAACGAGAGCGAAACTCCATCTCAAAAAAAAAAAAAAAAAAAAAAAGAAGAAGACAGTACTTCTTAATTCTCCCTGAATTTCCCTGCACAGAGTAGACAACTACTGAAAACAACTATTCTTCAGAGAGGCTGCTAAGTGTAGAACAAATCACAAGGCCTCGAGAAATAAGAACATCAACAAAAATAATAAGCTTTCCTTCTAATTGCACAAATTTTGCAGGTATCAGGTGTAGTCATGTTCAGGGACGTAAAGCTGCTTCCTCAGGAAGGCATTCCAGAATCTTCAGATTGGGCTAGGTTCCCCACCCCCCATCTCACACAGTCTCTCTTGCAATACATCCTGTCATTGTCCCTCGTGGCATCTGACATGCCTGAATCATTTATTTGTAAAATTTGTAATTTGTTTCATAGCCGTCTTTCCCACTAGACTGAAAGCTTCATGAGGGAGATGTCAGGGTCTATTTTACTCATCAAACAGAGCACCTGACAAACAGGAGGTGATCAAATATTTATTGGCAGTCTCATTTAATCTTTACAACAACCCAGTGAGGTAGGCAAGTATACACCTCCCCATATTAATGGAAACTCTGGTTCCTAACTAACTGGTTACTCGCAAAGCTAGGACTTGGCATCCAGGCCTTCTATTTCCAGTTGAGGACTCATTCCATGCTCCCACGCTGCCGTTGCCACCAAAGACTAATTTAAATGTGCATCTGTATCCAAAGAGGATGGAATCTGTTGGTGTCACCCTCTGCTCATAACAGCTTAGCTAAAGAGACTGCTGAGTGACCCGTAGTCCCTGCCATGAATCAGCAGCACACAAAGGCTCTCCTTGATCTGAAGTTGCAGCTGCTCTTTGATGATACACATGAAAGCCTGTGTATGCTAAAGGCCACCATACAGATGTTATGGTTTTTGCCGGGACAAAGGTGATTTCTATTCTCTGCCTCAAACCTAGGGACACGGTTCCTGGCTGCCAGGTTGTGTCTTAGCATAACGGACTATTGTTTGAAAGCTGCACTGAGCCCCTAAAACACTTGTGATTGCGATTTAGGTACTGTTCGGCATTAGAAATCAGTGTGTTCTCACATCTCGAGAACCACTTTGAGGGTTAAAGCCACTGAAATATTTTTTAGAACAGTGATCATGTGACCGTGACAAGATATGTTGCCTTCTCATAGGGGACGGCTGTTTCTAGCTAACAGTTGATTACTGAGGATATTCATATTCTACTGCCGTCGTTACTCAGCTTGGTTTTGCCATTCTCTGCAATTCATTTGCGCGTTTCAGCATGTATAGGACATTAATATATGCAAGGCACTGTGCTAGGCACAGGGAGTATAAAAAGATGAATAAAACGCAGGGAGGATATAAAGATGAATAAAATCATCCCTAATTTCAAAAAGCTCACAGGCTATAGGAAGGAAACACACAGTTAATTAACTATAGTAGAATATAAGACGTTCTATTAAAAAGGAAGAAAGTGTCCCTGGCTGTTAGTCTCATGCCTGTCAATGTTTTCAGTACTGCAGCCATGGGCTTTCTAACCACTCTCGCCTCTAGCATGGGGCTACAATGTTTGTCTACTCTCTTCTTCACACCACTACTTAACCTCCACTGCCTCGCCGTCACAATAATGTATTGCAATCATTGGCTTACTACTCTACTACTGAGTTCTTTGAGAGCAAAGGCTGTCTTCTATTTGACCTTATACCCCCAGTACCTTCCTAGCATAGTACATAGTATGGGGTAGAAACAGTTGAACGACGGCTAACTAAATGAACAAAGGATGGTGGAATCACAAGGGAGGAATTTATCAATTTTGTTCAACAGATTAGTAGGGTAGTAAAGAAGATTTCACAGATGGAGCTAGATGTTAGTAAGTTCCTAAGGGGCAGTGATGCTTTACTACCACAGTGCTTGGCACAAAACATTTACTACAATACAGGATGGAAGAATGAATGGATGGACAGATGATTAAAGAAACAAATGTATACTTTCCTGACTCCTATCTATGAACATAAATCTGATTGGAGAGAAGGACAACAAATCTTCTATTTCTATTATGATTAACATCCTAAGGTTAAAATGGTTTAACCTGAGTTTAGAGTTTTGCTTATTACTCTAGACCAAGGCAGAAGGATTACTTGAGCCCAGGAGTGATCAACATGGCAACATAGTGAGACTCCATCTCTACAAAAAATAAAAATAAATAGCTGAGTGTGGTGGCACACACCTGTAGTCCCAGCTACTTGGGAGGCTGAGGTGAGAGGATCACTTGAGCCTAGGAGGTCAAAGCTGCAGTGAGCTGCGATTGCACCACTGCACTCCAGCCTAGGCAAGAGAGCAAGACTCCGTCTCAAAAAAAAAGAATGACAATAAGAAAACAACTGTGCAGTTTTTCCCTTTTCTAAGAAAGGATTAAATAAGTTCTTCCTCATATGCCTACATGTTCATGAGGCCCTTAAATCAATATGGTTGAAGAGGGCCATTCTGTAGCTTTATTTTATATATTGGGCTTGAAAGAATCACAGGCAAGTGGATTTGGACTGGATTTGGGAGATAAGCCAAGTGTCACTTTTTTTTTTTTTTTTTTTTTGAGACGGAGTTTCACTCTTGTTACCCAGGCTGGAGTGCAATGGCGTGATCTTGGCTCACCGCAACCTCCACCTCCTGCGTTCAGGCAATTCTCCTGCCTCAGCCTCCCGAGAAGTGTTACTTTTTATAGATAAAGTTCTAGAAGCCCGAAGAGGTACTGGAGACAGAAAGTGTGCTATGAATACAAATATAAGTAAGACGCAAACCTTGCTCTTGGGGAGCCTGTGGCCTTATGGTGGAGTCAGATGTTATAAAAAGATCAATTTTTGCAGAATGTAATAAGCACTAAGCACTTTAAAATAAGGTTTGCAGAAAGTAGAATAAATGGAATATCTATGCCTGGGAATTCAGGAAAGAAAAATAAGCCTGTTCTTTAACAGCAGGGACCATTCCTTATTCACCCTTATTTATGGCCAGTGCCCGGAAGGTAGTAGGCACTATTTCTGATAAAATAAATGAACTCTCTCTCTCTCTCTCTCTCTCTCTCACACACACACACACACACACACACACACACACACACACACACAAACGAATGGAAAACCAAAACATCTGGAAGTAAAAGGCATGAAACAGTAGTTATCTTTTTTTTTTTTTTTTTTTTTTTTTTTTTTTTTTTTTTGAGACGGAGTTTCGCTCTTGTTACCCAGCCTGGAGTGCAATGGCACGATCTCGGCTCACCGCAACCTCCGCCTCCTGGGTTCAGGCAATTCTCCTGCCTCAGCCTCCTGAGTAGCTGGGATTACAGGCATGCACCACCACGCCCAGCTAACTTTTTGTATTTTTTTAGTAGAGACGGGGTTTCACCATGTTGACCAGGATGGTCTCGATCTCTCGACCTTGTGATCCACCCACCTCGGCCTCCCAAAGTGCTGGGATTACAGGCTTGAGCCACCGCGCCCGGCCAGAACAGTAGTTATCTTTACCCAACTTCTTGGGTAACTAACTCCCCTCCACTAGGATGACAGAACACTACAAAAGATGCTTCCCCTCAGTGCTTCCTGAGCACACACTCCTTCCTGTCCCCACAGCCTGGCTCCTTCTCTCCACCCCACCACACTATTTTTCTTCACTTTCTAGTTAGCATTTACGTGGATTTAATACCCTGCTTTTATCTTCCAGCATTCCTGCTCCCCATTTACTGCTGTATTTGGTGTGGATGTCTCTGCAGTAGGAGCTATTTTAAGGAGTCACAGCTGGAAGAGACACTGAGAGAGCTTCTGGCCCTGACTGAAGGGCCTCCTCCTGAACACTTCTCTGTGATGGCAAGTATCTAGAAAATGCTGAAGAGCATTATGGAGCTTCTCTGCTCTTCCCAAGGCACTCAAAGGAAGGAGAGTATGCACGTATGGGAGACGGATGCAAACAAATGGACTCAACATAGGATGCTTAGGTTGGGAATCAAAATAGAACTCTAAAATGCCAGTTTTCATTGTGCTGCTGATGTGCTATCCTCCCTATCCTTCTTTTCCTTCCCTCCCTCCCCCACCTTCCTTCCTTCCTTCCTTTTCTTTCCCCTTCCTTCCAGATACTCAATAAACTTCCTCTCCTTTCTCCTGTTCCTGAACACACCACACTTCCAGGTACCAAACCATCCAGAAGCCGCAACGGCTGGAAGGGCAGGAAGCAGGGGGTAGAGAGCAGGTATCCTTTTCTGTATCCCTCATTTAGTGTCTTTCCTTTTTAGAGATAAGAATATGAAAAAAAAAAAAAGAGAGAGAGAGAGAGAGAATATAATAGGAGACGGGATCATTTAAATAAGTGATTCATAACGAAATGACCCATAGTGAAACGTAGAAATCAGGAGGCTCTTTCGTGGGGCTGCAATTTAGAGGAGGCAGCACCTGCTTACTGGGCAAGCTCAAGAAATCCAAAAAGAAATTTCTTCCTTGTCTTTATGTCACTTATGACATGGCAGGAGACAGGATAAACTTGCCTTAGCCATTCTCTGTCTTCTAATCTGTATATACATCATCCAAAATTCTTTCCTTCCCCCATAAAAAAGACTAGAAGAACTGTTTGAAAATAAGCTATTATGGTTTAGTGCATTGTTTCAATGTGGGTTTCAATTAGGAGATTTAATAAATGTTATGAAAGCACTACTTTCCCTAACCTCTCACACGGCACACGACCACCTTAGTGAATATTCAGCACCTTACCTTCACTTTTTCACCATTAATCTCCACTGTCTTAATCATAAAATCTACTCCAATTGTGGCTCCTTGACCTGGGGGGAAAAGACCCTGAAGAAGAAATAACAGAAAAGAACAGCTAAGCAAACACTTTAATTAAATGAAATTCTTTCTCCTCTTCCCCAGCACCACCCATCACTAGGTCCTTCCTTCAGCTGAGTTAACTGGGAGAAAAGATAACTCTGGCTCCCATCAAGGGAGTCCTGTGCAATTCTGTATGTATGTCTTGAGGGAAAGAGAAAGGAGGGAGAAAGTGGGAGAGGAAAATGGTGAAAGAAGAGGAAAGAGATAGGGAGACAGGGAAAAAGAGAGAAAGACAGGTGAAGGAGAAAATTGAGAAAGGGCAGGGGAACGTGATTTTAAGAATGAAACAAAAATCGGACATGAGGATAAGAAGGGCATGCAATCACAGGGATGAGATCAGAATTGGAAGGGTGGGGGCAAACAGGTTCTTTCTAAGAGGTAAAATCAAGGATACTTAAAACTAGTTATCAGTTTTGAGCACGGACAGCTGCAGGAGTGGGCAGCAATATGAAAAAACAAGTAAGAACTCAGCATGAGAGGCAGGAATAAGACAGTTTTGGGATCCATCTTTTTGGATCTCCTGAAGCTTCTGAATTTTTCTTTGCCTCAGGGTAATCACTGTTTTCCTCAGTGCAATGTACCATGCATATATAATTACATGGGATCAAAGCCAATGACACTGGGAAGATAATCTAAGAAAATTAAGTCATCAAGGAGACGGTGAGGTAGAAACAGTGCTAAACCAGGAGGCAGCAGCCTTAGGATCTCTGTGTAACCTAGGACAAACCACTCGCCCTCTCTGGGCCTCAAATTCAATGAGTTTGAGGCTGATGTAAGCCATTTTAAACCAAATAAACAAAATGCTTTACTTCAAATTGGAAACTTAACCAGAAAGATGGGATTTTAACAAAGTCACAAGTATACTTTATGCAATTTACTGTTACATAATTGTTTCCCACAAGCTTAGGGAGAGAGTTGGGGGTAGCAAGAAATTCTATCAAAAAAGAACGCTTCGCTGGGCGCGGTGGCTCATGCCTGTAATCCCAGCACTTTGGGAGGCCAAGGCGGGTGGATCACAAGGTCAAGAGATCGAGACCATCCTGGTCAACATAGTGAAACCCCGTCTCTACTAAAAATACAGAAAATTAGCTGGGCGTGGTGGCGCGTGCCTGTAATCCCAGCTACTCAGGAGGCTGAGGCAGGAGAATTGCCTGAACCCAGGACGCGGAGGTTGCGGTGAGCCGAGATCACGCCATTGCACTCCAGCCTGGGTAACAAGAGCGAAACTCCGTCTCAAAAAAAAAAAAAAAAAAAAAAAAACAAACTCTTTACCCAATTTCTCCAGAAATTAAAGTAAAATGGACTTTATTAGTTCTGGCAACTATGACTCAGACACCTTTAATTAAGAGTTCTTTAATTAAAGTTTTAGCTTAAAAGATTGAACTTCAAACCAAAAGAAAATGTTCTACTGCATGTCTGCAAAAGATGTAAACATAAACATTCATAACTTTACTTTCAAATATTGAATCAATTTTCTTCTGTTTCGGCTTGGCTCAGATACAAAAGCTGCCAAGCTTCAAGTTTATAGCTCCAGATGTTTTGCAGCTCAACAAATGCCAAAAAATTAAACAAATTCTTCCCTTCCCCAAACCCTTGTGCCTAAAAAACAGCCAATTCATTTTAACTGTCTGCTAAATAACAAAAACAAACATAATTCTGCCTCTGAAATAAGAGTTTATGGTAGAGATGAGGGGATAGGAGGGGTAAAATGTAGACACAAAAGACAAATAAGAAAGAAGAAAAATGTGCTTACTGGCAAAAATTACTATTGAAAATAGAGACATTTTCATATCTAATGACAGAGTTTGTGAGATGGAGTCTTGCTCTGTCGCCAGGCTGGAGTGCAGTGGCACAATCTTGGCTCACTGCAACCTCCGCCTCCTGGGTTCAAGCAATTCTTCCGCCTCAGCCTCCAAGTAGCTGGGACCACAGGCGTGTGCCACCATGCCCAGCTAATTTTTGCATATTTTTAGTAGAGACAGGGTTTCACCACGTTGACCAGGATGGGCTCGATCTCTTGACCTCGTGATCCACCCACCTCGGCCTCCCAAAGTGCTGGGATTACAGGCGTGAGCCACCGCACCAGGCCAAGTTTGTGCTTTTAAAGAGAATGGTCTCAGAAGTTAGAATGTATAGGAGACAGATATTATTGGGCTGAAAATCTGGAATCCAGGTTCCAGTCCTAGCCTTGCCACTTTATCTAATCTCACAATATGAAATCCTAAGCAAGGCATTTAGGCCCTCTAGATCTGAGCTTTTCATCTAGAAAGTGAGAGAGGTAGGTTGAATAATGGAGGTAGGATGAATAATCTCTAAGTGACCATTTAATACTAAGACAAGGTCAAGCAAACTTTTGATAAAGAAACTGAAAACTTCGCTACAGCCCTGCAGTCTTATCCTTTTGTCAAAAGCAGAAAATATTACTAATGTTAGGTAGAAGTATAACCCAGTTGGAGTTTCCAATATATCTCCAAGGCGGCTGACTGAGCCCAGATGCCTATTAGCTTGTTACTTTTGATTTCGAGGCCGAGGCTTAGTAAGAAGCATGGGTTCTATTCTGTGTTCATGCATCAGGGAAAAACCCTGACATTTCCAAAGTGACTCTGGGCCCTATAGCTGTTTGTTATTCAATCTGCCTCTCTCATTTTCCACAAAACCACAGACTGTCAAAGCTGGAAGGGGCCTTGGAGCTCACCCAGCTCCTAATGTGCAACAGGGAGTCCCAGGAAAGGGAAGTATCTTGCCCGGTCTCACAGAGCAAGCCAGGGCCAGAACCAGGACTAAGACCCATGTCTCAACTCCCAAGCCAGTGTTCTTTCCACAGAACCAGGCTATGCTATGCCTTAGGTAGAGGAGCCAGTCCCAACTTGCTGAACAAGTACTTTATGAAAATTCAAGATACGTACGTAATGGTCCTAAAAACGGTACCATTCACATTTTTCAGGGGAAAACATACAAAAAAGGTCAACTTTGGAATGATTTCTCACTCGTTTCTATATAAAAGCAGTATATATTCTCCACCAGTGATTCTCAAAAGGGCAGTCCAAAAGGGAACTTGTACTTTGATCTTATGATAAGAATTCAATCCAGAGGGACCACTCAATTCAGTTCAAATAATTCTTCACTATTCTCATTTCATTCCCACTGAAGAGATTTAGAAAATTGGCCTATTTGGTTCTAAATGAAAATGATTCACTCAAGGTTCCTGGGAGGATGCAAGGGGGCACAGGCAGAGAGTTGGATTGGTTTAATCTGTATTAGAGTTTTTAAAAATTTAATATTTAGGTTCAGTTTGATGTCCAGATTCATTTGTTTCCACCTGGGGATTATTAACTAGTAACTTACTTTTATCTAACGATTTAGTTTTGATACTGTACACTGACAGCAAAACCACGTGCCTCTGTTATTAAAGGAAGCAAGAAGAGGTGTGGGAGGGTTGGTGGAGATCCCTAGGGCCATGCTCTCTTGAGGTTTTAAAACCCCTTGTCCAGGCTGCAAAGCAGATGCAGCTTTCAAAGGGTGAATTAGGAACTCGTGGCTAAGATACTGGCATTGGGACTGGCCATCCATCTTGACGATTGCCCCAGTCCCTCAGGCTAGACTGAGAAACCCAACCCCGGTCTTCCTGGTTCCCTTACCTGAGTGAATCTTCGGACGAGGCACGTCTTCCCCACACCAGCGTTGCCAATTAAAACAATTTTGAACAGGAAATCATAATCTTCCATACTCATTTACACAGCTGGAAGGCAAACACAGGCAAAAGTGAGAGGGGTCCAGACAGACTCGCCCACACAGCTCCAGCTGCACCAGCTTTGTCTCCTGGGGAACAGGTCTGACTCATTTAAAGAGCAATTTAAAGGTCCCCTCTGGTGACCCTGCCAGTGAGAAACAAAGGTGTTTGGTCACAGACGGACTTTATTCCTTCTCAGCTACCTCATGCCACAGAGACTAAATGACGCAGATGTCCTTTCACCTGGTAACCTTTATTCCTCCAAGCTGTCATGTCTCAGGTTCCTCCTGTGATAAATCTGTTTTCTTTTAGCATGGAAAGGAGATTACAAAACTATGTGTAGGCAAGCTGGGGTGCAAAGAAGCAAGGACAACAGCGAGCCCATCCAGAGCTAAAAGAAAGTTTATAGAATGAGTATGACTCTGGGAAGACGGGCTAGTGACTAGGAGGCTGAATAAAGGAGAATGAAGAGGAAGGAGCTATGGATGGCCCTATTAGTCTCCTGCCTCTGGAAGTCTTAGGGACTTACCAATGGCAGTCATAGCCACCTTTCCCCTCTACCTCCTACACATCTCCTGCCAGCTATGCTGATGCTACAGGGCCTCCCAAAGTGCCTGTCTGTTCCCTCCTCTGGGCTTTGCTATGTGCCATTTCTTCTGCCTGGGATGCCTCCCCTTCCACTCCTGAGTCTTGAAGTCTTCGAAGGTCCAATGCCGGCATCTCTTTCTCTTTGAATCTTTCACTGATCTTTGCCAAATAAAGTCCAACACTTTGACCATTCCTCTGTCCTAAAACTTCACTTGCTGTATACAATTGTTTGTTCAAATATCTGCCTCATCCTTAAGGGATAGGATTATGCCTCTCAGCTCTATTTCCTTGCCCCTAAGACAGTTATTTGTAAATGTCTATCCTATGAAAAGAAAAAATTAATCGGCATGTTGCTTATGTGTAGGCTTTAGTTTTTCCAACTGCACTAAAAAGACGATGACTAAAAGGGCATACTAAAAGAATGCCCTGTCTACTTCAGTGTCCTGCTATGAAGATTTTAAAAAACTTACAAAAGAACCTTATACAAAAATTACTCACATGCGGTGGCACATGCCTGTAATCCCAGCTACTCAGGAGGCTGAGGCACAAGAATTGTTTGAGTCTGGGTAGTGGAGGTTTCAGTGAGCTGGGAGATCACACCACTGCACTCCAGCCTGGTGACAGAGCGAGACTGATACCCATAAAGCCCTATCCTGGTAAAAGCAATTGTAATCTACTGGGTGCCTATTATAGTACTCTGCTATCACCGTAAGAAATACAGAGAAGGGGCCGGGCACGGTGGCTCATGCCTGTAATCCCAGCACTTTGCGAGGCCGAGGCGGGTGGATCATGAGGTCAAGAGATCGAGACCATCCTGGTCAACATGGTGAAATCCCGTCTCTACTAAAAATACAAAAAATTAGCTGGGCATGGTGGCGCATGCCTGTCGTCCCAGCTCCTCAGGAGGCTGAGGCAGGGGAATTGCCTGAATCCAGGAGGCGGATGTTACAGTGAGCCGAGATCACGCCATTGGGTAACAAGAGCGAAACTCCGTCTCAAAAAAAAAAAGAAAGAAAGAAATACAGAGAATAGACAATGTCTGCCCTCAAGACCAACATGTGAAAATTTAAATAATGCTTTGAGCCCATGGTGGAGCTCTTTTCATAAAGTGTAGGCAGAACAGGCCCAGCAGACTCTGGAGAGAAAGGAAACCAGCAATTAGGGAACGAGAAGGGGAAGCCTGCTTGGAAGCGTAGGGAAGCCTCAGGGTCACTCCTACCAGCAGACTCAAATGCCTGCAGGCTTGCAGGGTAGAGAGGAGAGCCCAAGCAGCGGAACCTGTCCAGTAGCCAGGGGAGTAAATTCCCTGTGTGCAAAGATGATGTCTGTGTAGATTTCAATTAATCCTTGGAAAAATGACTGACCACCAAGCCAACATGTAGGTGGCAGTTCATGGGGTTCCATCCCAGTTCACTGGGACTGTGAAGGAAAAACATTTCTCTGTGTAAGAATCTGGGTCCATAAGCAGTGGTAGCACTATACTTGGCCCTTTATATATATTTCAATTTGTTTCTACAAGTTTGTAAGGTTTATACTTACTAACATATTATCTATTTTATAGGTTAGTGAACTGAGATTAAAGGATATTAAGAGGGTGACCTGAAATCATAAAGCTAAGAGGCAGACTTCATGTTCCAAAGGCATATGGTATCATAACAAATGCAGCCAGAGAGACCGAGGTTCAAATCCTGGCTACACTGACCTTCTAAGCCTGTGACTTTGGGCATATGACAATTTTTCAAAGCCTCAGCTTCCCCATCACCAAAATGAGGCTAATAACACCTATACCGCAGAATTGTGATGCGTGAAAGAATGGGAGCCCCTAAGGACAGTCCCTGGTTCTCTGTCACCTAAACTCCTTAAAATGATTTTCAAGTTTTCCATGATCTGGTTCCTGCTGTCATTGCCAGCTCTGTCTCCTACCACTCTCCTCACAATCCACAGTTGCTTAAACACCATGGCCCTGCTTTTCTCCTCATACCTTCACATATATTGTTCTGTCTGCACAGAACACAGAACACGACTGACCCTCACACCCTCCCCCACCACCCTAAGATCTCAACTTCAACCTCCTCTAGATCTCAACTTCAACATGACTTCCTCCAGTCTGCTCCTCTGACTACGAGGGGCCTGGGCTTCCCTGCTCTAGGCTCCCACAATGCCCTCCTCCTCTCCTCTGTAAACTCAGTATATTACCTGTAATTAGTTACTCACATATCTCACACTCCGGCCCCATCCCTCAGCACCTCAGCCCTACACCCATGCACACTCATGAGGGCAATGAGGTGTCTGGTTCAGTCCAGATCCTCACCCCTCCCCATCATCATCATCATCTCATTCTATATTATTCATTTAATCCTCAAAACGACTCTATAAGAGGGATGCTATACTATGTGTATCCCGACTTGGTGGAGGTGGGTGCTGAGACACAAGAGAATTTAAATAAGCAGTCATAAGGTCCCATGGCTGATAACCAGTGGAGCTGAGATTCACACCCAGTTAACCTGGCTCCTGTATTCATGTCCTTGAACCACTACCCAGGTGCCTTTCACAATGCTGGCTCAGAGCAACAGCTCAAAAAAGATGGATGAATTACATGATGAAGGACAAGCACTTAACTAATGTGACTGTCCTTTCCTTTTCCCCTCTGGCTTCAAGTACAAAACTCCACCACCCTGTAGGAGTTTAAATAATAATCAAAGTCAAACTCCTGATAAACACTCACAGACATGGTATGTCAATTAAAATTCAATAAAGCTATTAGAAAGAAAAAGAATACTGCCGGGCGCGGTGGCTCAAGCCTGTAATCCCAGCACTTTGGGAGGCCGAGGCGGGTGGATCACGAGGTCAAGAGATCGAGACCATCCTGGTCAACATGGTGAAACCCCGTCTCTACTAAAAATACAAAAAATTAGCTGGGCGTGGTGGTGCACGCCTGTAATCCCAGCTACTCAGGAGGCTGAGGCAGGAGAATTGCCTGAACCCAGGAGGTGGAGGTTGCGGTGAGCCGAGATCGTGCCATTGCACTCCAGCCTGGGTAACAAGAGCGAAACTCCTCCTCAAAAAAAAAAAAAAAGAAAGAAAGAAAGAAAAAGAATAAACTCACAGAAAGGCACAAGGACAGCAGGAAGACACGAGGCTCTGTGGACCACAGCTCCCTGCTTTCATAAGCCCATAAGAAACAGGAAACACAGGACTGTACTGCATTCTTTTTCTCTGCCTAGACTGTTTGACACACACTTGTTTCTACATCTTTGCTGGAGGTCAAAAACCAAAGCAGGAAATCCAGAGGAGAATGACAAAAATAAATGCTTTAGAAACAGGGCTCCTGAAAGAGGTTAACAGTGCCCAAATTATGCACCTTCAGAAAAAGAAGGTGAAAAAGAGGCTTTGTCATAGTGAACATTTCATGTGGTTACCACCTAGAGCAAGCCCCAGAATAAAAGTTAAGACACTAATCCTTTCTATAAGAAATTACTCTAATGCTGTTGAATGTTTTTGTTTGTTTATTTGTTTTGCTTTCTTTTGAGACAAAACCTTGCTCTACTGCCCAGGCTAGAGTGCAGTGGCATGATTACGGATCAAGCAATCCTCCTGCATCAACCTCCCAAGTATCTCAGATTACAGATGCAAACCACTGTGCCCAGCTAATTTCAAAATTTTTTTTTGGACAGACAGGGTCTCATTATGTTGCCCAGGCTTGTCTTGAACTTCTGGCCTGAATCAATCCTTCTGCATCAGTCTTCCAAAGTGCTGGGATTACAGGTATGAGCCACTATGCCAAGACTTGTTGGATATTTTTTAAAAGGAACTCTGAGTAATATTGGTCTTTAATAATGCAGGCTGTCTATGGCTAAAGCTGGACTGTAAACTCCAGGTTATCTGTTGTAGTTACTATTTTGCTTCTAAAGGAACGAATGAAAAGATCACAAGATTATCTGCAAACTTCTACTCTTTAAGGAAGCCCTTCTGTTTGGTCCATAAAATAACAGCCCAGGCAGTACCAGTCCCCATGTGATGAGATAGCATTTCCTCCTGAATGGGGGAAACCCATTCAGAAGCATTTACAGCCAGCCCTAAACTAACAACAAAAGTCATACCTCATCTGGGGGGAAGATACGCCACAAGATATGCTACTGACTAAACACTACTGCAGCATTTTGTGTTCTATTATTGTTAACAATGATAACAGCTGGCACTTATTCAGTGCTTGTTATGTCCTGGGTACTATTCTACATGTACTCGCTCATTTAATCCTCATAATCCTATGATGTAAGTACTCTTATTATTATCCCTAACTTGCCTAAGAGGAAGCCGATACAGAGATATCATCCTAAAGTCACACAGCTAGTTAGTCTCAGGACCAGGATTCAAACCTAGATCCACCTGACCCCAAAGCCTAGCTCTTCCTGCAACAGGAT